GCGCCCTAAGGCGGCCACTTGTGCCGCCTTATGGATGCGCCGGCGGAGCACACCCTCCCTCCGGCGACCTATGGCCGCGTGCCCACAGAGGGGGCGCGGCGTGCCACCTGTGGCACGCGTGCCATAGGTTCGCCACCACTGGTTTAGAGCCTTCAAAAGTTAGAGGCGTCTTGCCCGGTAGTGCTTCAGCAAGGATTGTTCATCCTGTGAGGTGGAACAGCAGACGATTACATCTTGTCACCGTCGCTGAAGCTCTGTCTGAGATTGGCAGTCGATAGATCCCATCTAGTGAAAACTTCTTTGCCTGGCTTGGTGGAAGTACTGAGGCCACAAGTCTCTGCATGTAGCGAGAGCTCTTCAGGCGTGATTGGGTCAGATATATCCCTTACTTTCAAGTGGATGCGCCGTGACCTGTGATCAAGAGCTGTGTAGTGGAGTAAAAGAGCTTGTTGAGTAGCTTGTAGGGTTAAAACAGTGTCCATTAGGGATGACAGGCGCATCTTGAAGTCTGTGATGTCGCCCTCCGATGCTTTTACTCTGTTACAGATTGTATATCGGCTTTTATAACTGCCACATCAGCTGCTAAAAGGCCCTTAATCTCTGAGACCAGATTGCGAAAGTTTTGTTGTGTGACCAGGGCCGATCCCTCCGAGTCACTCGCAGGGTGAGGTACCGGTTCATAGGCCGGGTCAGGCTGCATTACACCAGTACAGGCCGGCATGGTCTCGAGTCCCACCGCAGCTATTTTGGTCTGTGCCTGCTGTTGGGGCATGGACCGGATATCTCTGGTCCCAGAGGGTGGCTCCTGGTTCAGCTTCTGTGTCCGTCGCCCTATGTTTGGTGTCCGATCAGGTATAGGAGCGGGCGGGAAAGCCTCCATATCAGAGTCCTCAAAGGGTTCTAGGCTGCCAAGTAGTGCAGACCATTCTAGGCCTGTGGGGTGTCTGTAGGCCCCAGACCTCCGCTTTTGTGGGATGTAGAAAAGGTATAGGATGCCTCTTGATGTGCACCTCGGGGTATGCAGGTGCTTATGAAAGGCGGTGGAGGAGTTGATTCCTCCGAAAACGGGTTTTTATTCAGCTTCGTGACCGGAGAAGTGCAAGATGGCGTCCACTCCGGCTCTGCCCCCTGTATTGTGAGAATTTGACTCCATAGGAGCAGCTACAAAATCTCTGTTCTATAATGAATTTTAAAAGTGAAGGAAATCCTGGCTATAAAAAATAAAATAAAAAAAATTCTTTCATCTGGGTTTATTCATTAAATACTGAATTAGTTAAAGGACCACTATAGTGCCAGAAAAAAACACTCGTTTTCCTGGCACTATAGTGCCCTGAGGGTGCCCCCACCCTCAGGGACCCCCTCCAGCCCGGCTCTGGAAAGGGGAAAAGGGGTAAAACTTACCTTTTTCCCGCGCTGGGCAGGGAGCTCTCCTCCTCCGTTCCTCCCCGTCGGCTGGCTGCGCGCGCATTCAGCCGGTCGCATAGGAAAGCATTTACAATGCTTTCCTATGGACGCTGGCGTGCTCTCACTGTGAAAATCACAGTGAGAAGCACGCAAGCGCCTCTAGCGGCTGTCAATGAGACAGCCGCTAGAGGCTTTGGGGGAAGGCTTAACCCATTCATAAACATAGCAGTTTTCTTCATTAAGCTGAAGTGGTCTGGGTGCCTAAAGTGGTCCTTTAACTCAATATTTAAACAGAAGAGTTGGAGATTTTTGTTTCTAATTTGACTTTTCATCCATAAGTTACTAACTTGCTGCCACTTGGTTTTGATTGAATACACCCAATGGTTTCACTGCCCAAAGAGAATATACCAACACCCTGATCACAATCTTACCAGATTCCAACTTTACTGTTAATTTTCTCTGATTGCACAGTCTCTTTCCAATATGCCAGCTCCTGCAGAAAGAAAGAAAGTAAAAACAAAAAAGACAAATAAAGGGCCAATTGTAAAGTGGATACAATGAAACACTACAAATCTGACCAATACTGAAGAAATATTTCACTAAATAATATTAGCATGTACTAATTCTAAAGAATGCATCCTGGATTTGCTAGTAAATAGAGGGAAATAAGCATTTTTAACCATAGCCACAAAAAAAAAAAAAAAATTATACAATTTTAAAAAAATAAAATAAAAAAAATTAACTTGATTTGGCTAGATACATCATTAACTGGAATCCTTAGATATTCCTGGAAAGGATAAATTACTTCAGTCTGCAAATACTACTACTAGAATGTTAATTAACTTATCACACACCCTGTGTGCGTGTGCGTGTGCGTTCCAATAACACAGTTTAACAAAATCTGCATGGAAGGGGATGTCTTGCTTTTTTAGTGGCATTATATGCATTTCCAATAACATTGTGAGTAAAGTGCTACCGATCCTGAGACATTGTGGATATAGATCACAATTCAGAAAACAAACACAGAAAGAAACAGGATTGTCTCTTACAATACTCAAGTAGTGATAACACTTATGGCAATAAACACATTATCTGTTCTGTAGAATCCATTATCCCATTCTGCCGTCTCCCATCCTTTATTCTATTGTGTCTAACTTCCCCCGATGCCCAACACCAAACTCCAACCCCCACTTAACTTCTCTGGCTTCCTGGTTCAGAGAAACTGCTATGTTTACATTGCAGGGTTAATCCAGCCTCTTGTGGCTGTCTTCTGGACAGCCACTAGAGGCGCATCTGCGACGCTGGAGGCACATTTCCCTCCATCGCGCAGAGCGTCCATAGGAAAGCATTGAGAAATGCTTTCCTATGGATACTTTGAATGCACGCGCGGCACTTGCGGCATCTCTGACGGGGTAGCCAACGTCGACGGGGGAGGAGAGGTCACCAGCGTTGAGGGAGCCCAGCACTGGCTTAAGGTAAGCTGCTTGAAGGGGTTTTAACCCCTTCAGCGCTACGGGAGGGGGATCCTGAGGGTGGGGGCACCTTCTGCCTAATACACATGCATTCTACTAATTAGTAAGTTTTCAAACAGACTCCCCAGTTGCATCCACTACAGATCCAATGCCTTATACATGAATTAAATGCTCTGCCTAATGCAACAAAGCTGTTTTTTCCTACAGAATTTATGCAGACATTTCATTGCCAATATGTCATTACTTGGTTGAAGAGACAGATAATACGCCTAGTCTGTTCTAGATTGACAAAATAGAATTTGTACATGAGAAACTAGCTAGCTCCTGTGTAATTTAAATCATAAATCATTCTCACCGGGTAAAAAGTGCTCCTTCCATCTGGGTAAATAACTTCAGCCTCCTCCACGCTGGAAACCGTAAAATAAAGATAATATAGCAATAAGTGCACAATTTAAAATTGCTGTGCTAGATCCTGCTAACAAAAGGTGTGTATTTTACTGCAGATCCCAACATGAGGACTCGCTGACAATCAGTGGTGGATTCAAGCCTTGCAGATTGAAAGGAATCCCTGCTGGGTTTCCTTACTCATCTCTTTTAGATAATAATAATAATAATAATAATAATAATAATAATAATAATAATAATATATTGCTCTAGTGGAATGTGTCTTTAAAAAAATAAATAAAAGGACTACTGCCAATGTGTTGGCAATTCCTTCTTTTTATGCCACGTTAATCATGTCCTATATTGCCTTCATTTCCATACGGCACTGTGGAAAATGATGGCATGATGAATGCGGAGGAGCTGGAAAGAGGCTTTGAAGGCAAAAACCCAAAACAGTTTAATGGAGAGTATTCAGACGTGTAGGAGCAGCTACAATGGCATCAGAAACAAAAATCTGTTATAATTTTTATGTAATTTTTTTTTTCTTTTTTTTTTTTACAGAAAGTTGAAACATTAATACAGGTTAGAAATCTTTACATCCAAAGTTAAATGAAAGCCAAGGATTATCTTGGCTTTTTATTACAATGCAATATTTCAAGTTTCTGTAATATTTCTAATTGTTAGCAGAGACTTAAAAACTTCCCAGTAAATTTCAGGGTCAATTTCTGCAGATTCTGGAAAGTACAGCTCTCCTAAACCCAAAAATAACATACACCCTCTTTAAACTACATTATTTGTAACAGCTTACTAAAAGTTTGCACCAGTTTATTTTAACTTTCTATAAACGGTGTTTAAATGAATCCTGTAGGACAAGCATAGAAACTGAACAGGCTTATTAACTTGGGCCTCAATTTTAGTTTTGAATAAACTTTTCAATCCATAGAGAAATTATTTGATCTATGTAAATGTTTGAAAGAAAAACTTAATCAAAAATATTAAATGGAGGCCTTAGTTTATGCATCAGCTGTAGAGCAAGTTTAAAGTCTTTATTTTCTAGCCTTTCATCTCTCGGAGCTAAAATGATTAGACTGAGATTGATAAAGCAATCTGTTTGCCATCTTTGGAGAAAAGATTATGTTATTGAACGCTGGAAAGAAATATACTCCACACAAAGTAGAATACTTGTGGTGA